CCCCAAAACCCCAAAACCCCAAAACCCCTAGGAAGCCTCAAAGATTGAAACTAGTTTTACTTCTAAATATCATACCTGAGAATTCTTGGGCAGTCCTGGCTCTGCTTTTCATCAATCATTAAAATCTGATTCTCTACCTGAAAAGAGGGATATATAGATATAATCGGAGCTTCTAGTTCCTTTTCAGGGAAAATAGTTTCATTTTCAACAACGAATTTAAAGACTCCTTTAGAAGGAACTTGCTGCCCATTTGATTCATCAATAGATCCCCCGAATAATAGAATAGTGTTGTTATTCACAAGGTGAGCGATCTGGAGAGAGATGAAATCTGGTTGGAACACTCTAAGTTCTTCCCAACAATGCTCATACTCACCTTTCCCTGTTCCTGGTTCTTCTTCTACTTTTATATATCTCTCAATGCTGTTAATATCTGTGCATTCTCTCTGACAGCCTCCGAAGACGTAGATAATTCCTGATTTTATAGCACAAAGAGTTGGATTTTTCCTCCTCTCGTTCATAGGAGCGATTACTTCCCAAGTATTTTTATCCACTCAGTATCTTTCACACTTAAAAATACCAGAAACTATCGGAGGAGTAATGGATTTCCTTCCATGGCTATCAGAATTAGACACAATATCTCCGTCAATCGAAGGATTTGGTGCATCTTTGACTTTGTTGGTAACTCCACCAGCAACGTAGACAAAGCCGTCATGATAGATAGCTCCCATCATCCCTCTAGCAATCTTGAGAGGTTGCATAATCTCACATTTATAAGATACCTGATTATTTAGTTTCTCCATGTTGTAATTATCAACGAGAACTTTTAATACTCTTGATACGAAAATGCTTCGACCAGGCACCTGTTCATTCAACCCTCCAATGGAGATAATGTGATAGTTTGGGAGATATACAAACTTGCTAAATGGAAGGAAGTCGTATTTACTCTGGCATTCAGAGGTCTCCCAAACTGGGTCTTTGGAGTCAACATCATACTCAACAAGAGTTTTTGACATCCATCTTGGTAGATAAAGTCTCCTAGTCTGGGCAACCCTGTTAATGTTGTCTTCAGGGAACTGCTTCATAGGTTTTATAAGCCTGTCCTCAACATCTTCCCTCTTGTCAATTCCGTAATTTAGTTGGTCAAATTTCTCCTTCAAAGTCTGAATCTCTTTCTGAATATCAATGGCAGGTACTATTCATCCCTCATTAAGATGATTGCTGAAGGTATTCTTGAAGCTCTCTGCATCGCTCTTGGAAAATTCTTTAAACTTTTTATATTTCTTAATAAACGCAATAGCTTGAGCAAAGTCTTCAATAATTTTTGTTGGTTTATGCTCACTGATACTTTCGTTCAGAGATTGTAGCCTTTTAAGGTACACTAGGCTCTCATCTATATCCTTACTCAGTTTTTCTTTTGAGTTATAAACATCGAGGAGGCGTTGCTCGATCCTTTGGTTGTACTTGGTGATTATCTCACTGTATCTATTATCAATATACTCATGGAGTTTATCAATCTTTTCCCTCTCTTCTTGCAGGAAGACTCGCTTTTCTTGCTCAATAAAGTCAGATTGGCCTTCGATTTCTCTCAGATATTCTCCTTTCTGATGGATAATCTTGATAGAGTTCCTCTCAACATCGATTAGCATCTTATGAAGCTTGGACATTACACTTGAGATATGGATGACTTTACTGTTCTTATGATAATTATCATAGAGGCAATCAGAGCAAATACCGATCTTGTCATCTCAGCAGATATATTCTATTTCCTTGTGAGGATGATTTATACAAAAATTGGTATCCCTTCCTTCTGGATCATTCTTTAGATGCTCAAAGACTCTCTCAAGAGCAAAGTCAATTTTATGCGTCTCCTCTTTCTTGAACAAATTTGATGAGCTTTTGAGCGTATTCAAAATGCCTGTGTTAAACTTGATCCTCTCCTTTCGGTCTGGGCAACAAGTTGTCTGATATGGTTTGTTCAACCTATTCCGACTTCTCAACTTATTCCTGGCTGTATTAATAAGCCTATTCTGAGGAATCTGTTGCTTTGCTTGGAGACGAATTCCTTGACGGCTCACTAAATTCCTCATACAACCTTACTTCTTTTCGGTCTTCTCCTGCCTATAGAGGTAGAACAAATTCTCTTCTTCTGTTCTTTAGCCACTGTTCGGAATCAACTTTTACAAACGACCAGGGATTCCTTCTCAGGGTGGTTATACAGCACCAGCTGGTCTGTATCATTATGGTTTCATAATTTCTGGACTCTACACATTTCCCTAAGAACCTTACCCAGGAGTTCGGTCTCTGAACATCTTCGGCAAGGGTTTTTGGCTCATATGAATTTCAATTTTATTTAAAACTTTAGGGGTTTTGGGGTTTTGGGGTTTTGGGGTTTTGGGG